AAAGGGGCGTCCAGATCCCCAAGATTTCCAATTCGCATAGTTTAAACCAGCGCGACCGGCTTTCTGAAATACCAATTTTTCAACAAAATTATCGTAAAATGTTACTGATTTTTGCGGGTCTCGAAGCGCTGAAAGGGGTACGGTTGCACTGGTTTCAACTGTGNGAATTGGAAATATTGGGGATCTGGACGCCACATTGGACAAATTCCAGTTCCCAAACCTCACCGATTCAGAACATTATCCGAAAAATTAAAAATATATTCCAGACAAGTATTCGAGGATCAGGATGAGCTGTTTTCGTTGGATGCCGAACGCCAATATGCAGAAGTTCAGCATCGGAAGCTCATCGACACGACACCAGGGTTTCTCTCCGAGTTTCTAGACTGTTTGAAGCCAGTAGATGTAGACAATTAATACTCATTTCCGATAATAAGGCAAAATAACCTTGGTGGCCTAGAAGTACAAGTTTTTGGATTTCTAGGCCACTATGTCGTAATTAGGCTCAAAGTGACACTGATGACCTCAGAAACTCATTGAAAGTATTTTCAACTCAAAATCTCAACTTTTAGCCAAGTTATGGCCATTTTTAGGTCGATGGCCTAGAAATGCAAATGTTGGGTTTCTATGCCACCAGGACGTAAATAGGTTTAAAATGACAGGGATGATCTCAGCAACCTATTGGATTCAGTTTCAGCTCAAAATCTCAATTTTCAGCCAAGTTATGACCATTTTTAGGTTGATGGCCTAGAAACACAAAAATCTGATTTTCTAGGCCCCTAACACTCACCACCGACAGTAACTTTCCAACTGCACTCCATTCGGTTTTTGTGGTATTCTTCTTGTGCTTATCGTACACTCTCATTATGCTGAAAAATAAAAAAAATTGGATTACTATAGAATTTTTTGAGTTTGTGGAGTACTGTGGGGGGTACTGTGGGGTACTGTAGGATACGGTAGATGCGTTTCACTCTTTTTTTTTTGTTTTAAAATTACAGTCAAAATCGGAAAATCAAAAATGCAAAAAATTTCTAGATAATTTTTTTTTGCCAGATTTTTTTCTTTTTTCCCACTCCCCCGTCTGAAAATCGACATAATCGAATTATAGCAATACATATAAAAATGGCAGGGTGTCTGGAAAAATTTCAGTTTTTCTGAAAAATTATTTTCAGACAAAACATTTTTCTGAAAAATGAAAACCTTCATTTTTCTTGTATGCTCTATCATTTTATTTTCTGGAATTCCAGTAAAAACCAAGGGACAAAAAGCAGTTCCAGAATCCAACGGGTAAGTCTGAAAGTTCTGAAAAAAATTTTTTGGAATTGTTTTTTTTTCCAGAAAAATCGAATCGTCTCCAATTGTCCAATCGTATCAAAATGACCCAAAGCATGGAAAAGAAATTCGAAATTCTTGAAGAAACGCACCAAAAGAATTTGATAATTAATTTTTCGTTAATTGGTCAATTAAAACTTTAGTTTTTAATGTTTTAATGACGTTGATTCTACTGTAAATGTTCTATCAAATGAAGCTCCAAAATTGAGAAAACACCACATTCCGCTCCGAGCGTATCACCTAAATGTCTTAAAGGTGGGGAGACAGGAAAAAATAATGATGTTCTCGAAATTTCGTCTAAATACGGCCCTCGAGGAGTTGAACTCATGATGGCCAGCTCAGGGCAAATAAATTGTTGAATATAATGTCTTTTTTACTGGGAAAGCATGATTTCGAATCAAGTAATTATAAAAAAATAGCAATTTGTTTCGAAAACGCGTTTTCTGATGCTTTTTCCCGAAATTTTCCCGCTTATTGGATATTCATCGACTTCCGAAGAATTTCGTATATTTTTTCTTAGATTACTGTAGCTCGAGAAATACGCAAACACCGATTTCCTCACTCTAAAATTTTATACTCTCAAAATCGCTAATTTTTGAAAGTTTTCACTCGTTTTTTTTCAGTTACCGCTCAAAAAATATATATTTCTGGTCTTGTCTTTTCCCAGAAATTCGGAAATATTTCATCGAACTTTGTTTCAGCCACAAAATGTCTGAAACCTCAGCTTTCATCTACGAGTCCCCTTTTGCTAAAACCGATAAAACTGATGCGATTCTAGTGGTTGAGGAAAAGAAATTGCATGTCAATAAAGCGGTAAGAGGCTTGGCGGGAATTCGAAATTTGAAAAATCGATAAAAATATTTTCAGATTCTCTCCTACCATTCCGACTACTTTAACACCCTTTTCAACTCGGATTTAAAGGAAAAATCGATGCCAGAAATCGAAATTAAGGATGTCAAATTTGAGGATTTTGCTACATTGCTCAGTCTTGTTCATGAGAAGCCTATAATGCCAACACTCGAAAACGCCGAACGCATTCTAGAACTTTCCGATCGATTTTTGATGCCTTCTGTTAAAAATGTCGTGGAAATGTTTCTGATTTCAACTTCCGAATTTGGTCGTAAATATAGGAAGGAACGAATGATGAGAAAACATGAAAAGTATCTAAATTCGCCGGGTTATGTTGTTAATATGGTTGAGTTCTACTTACTCTAAACTACAAAAAAATAAAAATACCTTTTTTAGCTCGTTAAAAAAGATAAACCGGATTCCGATGATATCGAATCAACATTCGCTGAAACCTTTTTTTTCGTAATTTTTCGTTTTTTGTTTTAAATAATAGGCTTAGGCAAAAACGCTTTGCTTCCCTTCTTCTGGGACACCCGCATTTTGGCGCCAAATCCAAAAAATTCGGGTGACTCTCCCAACTACGTTAGCCCCTTTTTCTCTTGCAATTGTTGTCGAGGGCTGAAATCGAGCATTTTCCCAAATGTCGTCAATTTCGGCGCAGTGGTACGCAAACACGCCGACACAAAATTGCGGGCATTTAAAAAAATTAAATTTTTTTCTTTTTTTTTGTTCTATTTCCTAGCTTTTTTCTCAATATTTCTGACTCAATTACCGTCAAAACTACTAAATATAAAGGATATTATTAATTTCTCCCAATTTCAGCCTAGAAATGTCTAAAACTCCAGCTCCTAGTCTCTGTGAGACCATATCTGCCGAATCTAACAAAACTGATGCAATTCTAGTAGTTGATGGTAAAGAAACTACATGTTAATAAGGCGGGAAATTCAAATTCCCCCCCCCCCCCCCAGAAAATCGATAAATTCCTAAAAGTTTCCAGATTCTCTCCTACCATTCCGACTACTTTAACGTCCTTTTCAACTCTGAATTCATGGAAAAATCGATGGCAGAAATCGAAATTAAGGATGTCGATTATGCCGATTTCGCAGCATTTATCAGTCTTATCACTGATAAACCAATAGAGTACAAAAATTTCGAGAACATTCTAAATCTTTCCAATCGATTTTTGATGCCTTCCGTTAGATTTACAATCGAAAATTACTTGGCTTCTTGTCATGAAATTAGATTTCCGGAGACATTCAAAATCGCTGATGAGTACAATTTGGAGAATCTTATGGATTATCTTATGAGATATGAAACTGGAACCAGAGAGGAAAATATTGATGCGATACGACGTTTTCTTAGGCGGCGAAGTTGTTGAACTATACAATTATTGAACAGTAATAAATTTGATTTTTTAAAAAGTTTTTTTGAAAAAATTTATTGATGTCCAATACAGTTTTTAATCCGCCGTTTAATTTGAAATTCGATCTTTTTTGTCAAACAAAAAATGGGCTGAAATTGTCGTAAAGTACAGTGTTAAAAATTAGATGTACGCATACACGCCGACACAAAATTGCGGACTTTTAGCTTTTTTTTTTGAAAATTCAAGAAATCTGAAATGTTTTCCCTTAGATGGATGTATTCCGTCTCTGGGGATTTCAAAATTTCATCTGTTTCGGGCAATTTTCATTCAAAAATTGAATTTCCCCGGATTACTGTAGTTCGAAAAGTACGCAAACACCGATTTTCTCACTCTAAAACTTTCTATTGTCGGATTAAAAAAAGTGACACCTGAAAATCTCGGAGACGGCGCTCGTGTCGATTTACGAGGGGGCGGAGCGAAAACGGATACTGTAGATAACAAATTTATTTATTATTCTTGTGCAAAAAAATTGGAGTTGTGGCCAAATTTTCACACAAGTTAGGCCACCGTATTTCAAGGAGAATTTTCGAAAACACAGCCGGCAAACGAGTGCTACCGTAACCCAACAATAAATATTTTCGCAAAATTTTTGTCTTATTATTTTTTTCTTTTTTTGAATTTTCGCGGTTTTGGTGAAAAAACGGCCAAAACCGCGAAAAAATCGAGAAAAAGGAAAAAAATGAAACAAAAATTTTGCGAAAATATTTATTGTTGGGTTACGGTAGCACTCGTTTGCCGGCTGTGTTTTCGAAAATTCTCCTTGAAATACGGTGGCCTAACTTGTGTGAAAATTCGGCCACAACTCCAATTTTTTTGCACAAGAATAATATGTGAATTCAGTGGGATTTTGTGAACAAAATTTTGATTTCTTGGTATAAAAATGATCGTTAGCATCTCTAGAATCTATTTTTAAGCAAAAAACTAAACTTAAACACGAAAGTAGCTCGAACGAGCCGAAATTCTGAAACATTACGTTTTGCCGCATTTTTTCGTAGATCAAAAAAAGCAAAATTTTTAAAATTCTCAGGTGTCACTTTTTTTTAATTCGACAATAGTGTTTTCCACCTATTTTACGCCTTCTCTACTTGTTTTTTTTCCGCTTTGAGCATGAAAATTCGTAGACTTTTCCGTTCAATATTTCTAGAAAATTTCAAATTTGCCGCTATTTTTTTCAGCCTAGAAAATGTCTGAAACTTCAACTCTTAGTGTCTACGAATCTAGATTCGCTAAAACCGACAAAACTGACGCAGTTCTGGTGGTTGAGGGAAAGAAATTACATGTCAATAAGGCGGTAAGTGATTTAGCGGGAAATTTGAAAATTTCGAAAAATTCCAGATTCTCTCCTACCATTCCGACTACTTTAACACCCTTTTCAACTCGGATTTCAAGGAAAAATCAATATCAGAAATTGAGATTAAAGATGTTGATTTATGGGAATTCGCAACTTTGCTAAGTGTCGTCCATGGCAATACGATCAAACCGCCTGGTATTCATTTCTAATCAATGAATACAACAAAAATAACATTTTCAGATTCATGTGTCGAGAAACTTCTAGAACTGTCCGATCGATTTCTTCTTCCAGCGGTGAAGCCGTATTTGGAGCAACTCCTTATTAATTCCAATCTTTATCCTCTTGAAAAAATTCTAATCGCTGAAAGACATGATCTCAAGGATCAGATGAAGACGGAAATCTTAAGATTCACAGAAAATGTTTCCATTCGATCAATAGAAAACGATTGGTATTGGTTCATGTTGTCGGACAATACAAAAGTCAAAATTTTGTCTCAAATCCTTCGTTAACACTAAATCAATAAATTTTGTGCTTCGTTGTTGTTTTTTTTGTTTACTTTTCAATCGGATTCAGATTTCCTTTCGAATTCTTCGTTTTATGTTTTACGCCCAAATTTTTTGAATTTGGCGCCAAAATACGGGTGGCACCAGAGGAAAGGAAACAAGGCGTTTTTGCCTTAAAAAATAAATATAAAACTAAAAATTTTGAAAAAAAATTTCACCCAAAAAATTGCATTTTTCACTGATTTTCGCCGATTTCAGCTCTTTTTTGGCCGAAATTTTTTTTCGTAATTTTTTGTTATTTGTTTTAAATAATAGGCTTAGGCAAAAACGCTTTGCTTCCCTTCTTCTGGGACACCCGCATTTTGGCGCAAAATCCAAAAAATTCGGGTGACTCTCCCAACTACGTTAGCCCTTTTTCTCTTGCAATTGTTGTCGAGGGCTGAAATCGAGCATTTTCCCAAAAGTCGTCAATTTCGGCGCAGTGGTACGCAAACACGCCGACACAAAATTGCGGGCATTTAAAAAAATTAATTTTTTTTCTTTTTTTTTTGTCTATTTCCTAGCTTTTTTGTCAATATTTCTGACTCAATTACCGTCAAAACTACTATATTTTTTTATTTCGCATTTTCAGCGAATTTCGCTATTTATAGACTAAAAATCGATAAGGAGCCGAGAAAAAATTTTTCAATCATTTTTGAAACTTTTTAGATTTTTATGAATTCGGCAAACACTAAAAAATCCGAAATTCTATCGATTTCCGGAGATTTTCTCTTTGAAATTTGAATTTTCTCGGGTTACTGTATTTCGGAAAGTACGCAAACACTGACTTGCTCACCCTAAATTTATCACTGGAAGTCGCACAATTTTTGGCAATTTTTTGGAAAATTTCCCTCAATTTTTCGCTATTCTTCATCTTTTATCTTGAAATTCTAATTTTTCAAAAAAGTTTCGATTGAAATTTGAATTTTCTCAGATTACTGTAGTTGGAAAAGTACGCAAACACGGCCTTGCTCACTCTTAATTTACCACTGGAAATCGCTAATTTTCAGCCAATTTTTGGGTCAATTTTTTTCGTTTTTCTGCTATCTTGCGTCTTTTTTTCTCAAAATTTCGAATTTTTCAAAAAATTTTAGCAAAAAAAATCAATTTTCAGCCAAAAAATGACCGCCAAACCTATTCATCCAATTTACGAGTTAACATTTGCGGAAACCGATAAAACCGATGCAGTTCTATTGATTGATGATAAGAAATTGGCAAATAGACAAAAAATTGAAATTGGCGAAATATTTCAGAATTTTGGAACTTCAGAATATGAGAATCTGAAAATTTCCGAATTTTCAAAAATTACGAGAGAAATTTTCCACTGAGAGGCGTGATTTTTTGAATTTCTGAATCGCAAAATTTCCGAAAAGCATGCAACGGAGAACTGTAAAATAATCTCGACACATTTTTACAGAATCAGGCATGCTTAATTTAGGTTTTAACACCCACTCGATACTTTCCTACCAATTTTTCTTAATGGGGTTATTCATGTAGGGAAAATATGTATTGAAATGCATTTCCGCGCCCTCGAAATTCAATGCATGAGCGTCGCGAAATGTATTTCAAAGCATTTTGCGACATAACTGTAAATGCATTGAAATACATATTTTCGCTACATGAATAACCCCATAATTGTTTTTTTTTTCAATTCTATTTCACTTCCTTTTGTTTCTCAATATTCCTTCGGTTTTGCCCCAATTTCTCAATTTTCCTTCGTTTTTGCCCAATTTTCCGTTTTTTTTCCCAATTTTTCAATTTTCCTCAATTTTCGTGGTAAATAAAATGTTCTCAATAATTAATTAATTAATTAATTAAGGTAATTGAAATTGAAATGTTGTTTGAAATGGATCCATTTGAGCTAGCATTTGCTGAGACTGACAAAACTGATGCAATTCTAGTGGTTAATGGAAAGAAATTGCATGTTAATAAAGCGGTAAGTGGTTTGGCGGGAATTTGAAAATTTCAAAAAAATTTCCAAAAATCGATAAATCCCCAAAAGTTTCCAGCTCCTCTCCATTCACTCTGAACACTTCAACACCCTGTTCAACTCGGATTTCAAGGAAAAATCAATGTCGGAAATCGAAATTAAGGATGTGGAATTTGAAGATTTTGTCACATTGCTCAGTCTTATCATGCCAGAAACAATGCCACTGAAAAGTAATCAGAAAAAACTAGAATTCTTGAAAAACGTTCAAAATTTTCAGTTCAAAAATTCGAGAAACTTCTGGAACTATCCGATCGATTTCTCATTCCAGCTGCCAAACGCCACGTGGCACTTTTCATTGCTCAGTCGGATATGGATAAGGAGGAGAAGCTGATATTGGCTGATAAATTCGATTTGGAGATTTTGAGAAACAATGCACTGGCAGAGTACAAAGAAATACATTTTTACCATGATATTGGCAATGTTGGAAAGAATTTCTCCCAGACTACTAAAAGTGCCATCTTTGATGTCTTTTTTCAGAAATTCCAATTTGATCTCTTCTGTTGTTGAATAAACTGTTATTTTTACTCTCTTTTCAGCACTGTTCTCATGAGTCTTCTTTCAAATTTTATAGGTTATTCTTCAAATTTCTTTAAAATCTGATAAAAATGAGCTTAAATTGCTTATTTTCATCGAAAGTCGCAATAAAAATCGGCAATTGTCGTCAAATTCGGTGTAAAACTACGGAGGTACGCAATACACGCCGACGAAACCTTGCGGAATTTTTTCGATTTCCGGCTCTTTTTTGTTGTATTTTCTCGAGTTTTTCTCATTATTTTCTTCAAATTCCACCGAATTATCGATTTTAATACCAATATTTGAAAATTTCAGCCTAGAAATGTCTGAAACTCCAGCTCCTTGCATATACGAGAAAGCATTTGCAAAAACTGATAAAACTGATGCGATTCTGGTGGTTCAGTGAAAAAAAATTGGGCGGTAAAATAAGGCGGTAAGCGGTTTGGCGGGAGTTTGAAAATTTCAAAAAATTCGAAAAATTCGAAAAAAATTGAAAAACCGGAAAGTTGATATAAACCTTAAATTTCTCAATGATTACTAAAAAAATTCGAAAAAAAAATTTTTTTCTTAAATTTTTAAAATTTTCTAAAATTTTTTTTTTCAAAAATCCATAAAATTCTGAAATTTCCCAGTTTCTCTCCTACCATTCCGACTACTTTAACACCCTTTTCAACTCGGATTTCAAGAAAAAATCAGTGGCCGAAATCGAAATTAAGGATGTGGAATTTGAAGATTTTGTCACATTGCTCAGTCATGCCAGAAGCATTACCATTAGACAGTAATCAAAATACAGTAAGAATTCCAGAAAAACTAAAATTTTCAGTCGAAAAATGCGAGAAACTTCTGGAACTCGCCGATCGATTTCTGCTTCCAGTCGCCAAACGCCACGTGGCTCTTTTCGTTGCTCAGTCGGATATGGATAAGGAGAAGAAGCTGATATTGGCTGATAAATTCGATGCAGAGTTTCTTGTGGAACATGCATTGAGTCGATATCGAGATAAAGATGATTACATGCCCATGTTAGCTGTCGGAGAAGATTTCTCGCCGAAAACGAAAGCACGCATTCTCTACAATTTTTTCTCTCATTTCAGAAAAGATCTTCTTTAATTTGCTCATTTTCTATTGTCTACCGTAACCTTTACTATATTGTTAATTCGCCATATTTACTTCCAGAAATTGAATAAAAGTAAAATTCTATTCTTCTTCTATATTCCCTGAAAATTTCAGAAAAATCAGACTATTTTGACCTACTTTTCCGGAGCTTTGAACTTCAGACACTTTGAAACAATTTTGACAAAGCAAGTACGATAACTTTGAGCTCAACTATCCCGGTTCTTTCAAAAGATATCAAAATTTTGTCAACTGATAAATGATTTATCACAATATCAGTAACATTTTATCAGTTGACAAATTTCTGATATCTCTTTTAGGAACCGAGATAATTGAGCTAAAAGTTGACGGTCGTGTGTGTGAGCTTCTATTCGAGGGGATACGGTATTGCTCATGTTATTATATCAAAAATTCACAAAATAAAGATCGAAATAAATCTCTAATTTTTTTCTATATTCTTTCTGAAAATTTCAGAAAAATCGGACTATTTTGACCTACTTTTCCAGAGATTTGAATTTCAGACAATTTTCCAGTGAAAAAGAAAAAAATTTAAAAAAAATATAAGTTTCTATAAAAATATCGGAATACTGCAAAAACTCGCTTTAAAAACGGAATTGACCCATTTTCGGGCCTTGGCGCACTTTTCGTGTCTTGGCGCATTTTTCGTGCCTTGGAGAATTTTATTCATTTTTTGTGACCTATTTTTTGAGAAATTGATTTTACGAACGGAAAAAAAACTTGAAAACTGCCAAAATTGGGAAAAAAATACAAAAAATCGCCTTGGCGCATTTTCAGTGCCTTGGCGCATTTTCAGTGAATTGACACAATTTCCATCCTCTGACCCATATCAACTGTTCTGATGCACTTTAGGCGCGCTCAGTGCAACCTTTGCGCACTTCTCGTGCCTTCTGCTCATCTTCCGACTCGTTGACGCATTTTTCGTGCCCCTTGACACATCTACAGTACCCCACCAAACAACGAACAAAAAAAGTAAACTAACTCCTCTTCCAAACATCGCTGCGTAAACGCCGCATACATTTTGGGCGCCAACTTTTTCCGAAAATGGTACAGTAATCCGTGCTCCTCCCGCCGAACGCGTTGTACGGTAGCAAAGAGGGCGGAGCCGAAATCTTTGAGTTTTTTCTGGAAATTTTTTTTTTGAAATGGTGGCCTAGAATACCAAAAAAACGAACCTCATCCTTATCCAAACATACGAAATGAGTGAATTTCAAATTAGTAATACTCGTCCCGCTGACTACAGTAAGAAAATTTCTCTCGAAACTTTTCTCATGTGATCCCAGATCGAAATCTGTCGGTTTTCCAACACGAACATCGTAGATTCGCTCCAAATAGATGTAGTTTTTCTCATGGGCTAGCTGAAAATATTTTTCTGAAATTTCCCAAAAAAAAATTGACAACAATCCGAGCATTTTAAGCTAGTTTAGCGCCTTTTATGGGTCCCTACACGAAAACTACCGTAACTCTTTAAATTTTGGAGGGAATCAAAAAATTCGAAAAGATTCGAATTTAACTTAAAAAGAGCGTCAAAATGAGTATAAACAAGGCATGTTTTGAAAATTTTCGATTTTTAAAAAAAACTAATTTTTTCAAATTTTTTTCAAAAATTCCAAAAATCGAAATTTTTCAAATAGAGGCATGTGGGGTATCATTTTGAAGCTCTTGTTGAGCTGAGCAATAATTTGATATTGAAACTTTTGGAAAATTCCCCCACAGCATAGGAAACCCCAGAAAACCTAGGCCATGAAGGGTATTTTGGTGTATTTTCGCTACCAAATGCTTCAAAATCATTCATTTTTGCTCAAATTTTTTGGGTTTCAATGTGAAATTTTTAAATTTCTGATATTCATTAAAAAATCCTGATATCCTCTCGAAAAAAAATTAACAAAAATCTGAGCATTTTGAGCCGTTTTAAAGCCAAAAATCGATTTTTTTAGGTCTCGCCACGAAAACTACCGTAACTCATTGGATTCTGGTGAAAATGAAAAAATCCAAAAAGATTTGAATTTGGCTTGTTTAGAGCTTCCAAATGAGTATAAACATAACATATTTTAAAAAGTTTTGATTTTTCGAAAAAAAATTTTTTTCGAAAAATTTCAAAAATTCCAAAAATCGAAATTTTTCAAAGAGAGGCATATGGGATATCATTTTGAAGCTCTTGTTAAGCTGATTAATAAAATTACATTAAAAATCCTCAAAATGAATCCGTGGCCTAGAAAACCCTGAAAAAGCTAGGCCATCATCCATTTTGGCTTTAGAATGCTTCAAAATCATTCATTTTTTCTCGAATTTTTTTGGTTTCTATGCGAAATTTTTAAATTTTTACAATTCATTTAAAATTTTCTGATATCCTCTCAAAAAATTGATGCAAATCCGAGCATTTTAAGCGATTTTATAGCCAAAAGCAGTTTTTTTGGGTCCTTGCACGAAAACTACCGTAACTTTTTGAATTTTAGCGAAAATTAAAAAGTTTAAAAAGATTTGAATTTTGCTGAAAAAGAGGGTCAAAATGAGTATAAACATGACTTACTTTGAAAATTTTTTGAAAAAAAAAAATTTTTTCAGAAAATTTCAAAATTTTCAAAAATCGAAATTTTTCAAATAGAGGCATAGGGGGTATCATTTTGCAGCTCTTGTCGAGCTGAGCAATAATATAATATTCAAATCCTTTTTTTCTGAACCGCTAGCCTAGAAAACCCCGTAAAAGTAAATATGGTATTTTGGCTCTAAAACGCTCCAAAACCATCCAATTTTGCTCAATTTTTTCGGATTTTTTTGGAAATTCCGATATTTTTGAATTTCTAAAAAATTCCTACCTCTTTGGTATTAAAAACCTTGGGGTCTTTGTACCTCCAGTACAAAATATAAGGGGTTGGATCGATTTGAAGACAGACCGAGTTTCGAATGGTGAAATTCTGAAATTTTTAGTTTTTATTGGAAAAGATAACCTGAATAATCTAGGTCATATCCTAGATTTTTTGAGGTCATGACCTAGATTTTTTTTATGTCATGACCTAGATTTTTTTTATGTCATGACCTAGATTTTTTAAGGTCATGACCTAGATTTTTTGAGGTCATGACCTAGATTTTTTGAGGTCATGACCTAGATTTTTTTATGTCATGACCTAGATTTTTTGAGGTCATGACCTAGATTTTTTTATGTCATGACCTAGATTTTTAGGGTCATGGCCTAGATTTTTAAAAATTCGAGAAAATTCGAAAATTCAAGAATTCAAATATTAAACATTTTTTGAAAAATCACATTAAATTTTTTGATTCCGGATAAAATATCATTTTTTGGGCTTTCCAAACAGAAATTTAAAAAACAGAAATTTAAAAAACAGAAATTTAAAAATTCAAAAATTCAAAAATTCAAAACTTCAAAAATTCAAAAATTCAAAAATTCAAAAATTCAAAAATTCAAAAATTCAAAAATTCAAAAATTCAAAAATTCTAAAATTCAAACATTTTTCAATTTTTGGAAAATCACATTTTCAAAAATTCAAAAATTCAAAAATTCAAAAATTCAAAAATTCAAAAATTCAAAAATTCAAAAATTCAAAAATTCAAAAATTCAAAAATTCAAAAATTCAAAAATTCAAAAATTCAAAAATTCAAAAATTCAAAAATTCAAAAATTCAAAAATTCAAAAATTCAAAAATTCAAAAATTCAAAAATTCAAAAATTCAAAAATTCAAAAATTCAAAAACTCGAAATTTCAAAAATTCAAAAAAAATATTATTGTTGATATTTCCGACTTTTTGTCCATTTTCTTAACTGAGCCACTTACCTCTTCATATTTCAAAAAAGTCAATTTTCCATCTTTCAAAATTGAGTCAGTTGACATTCTTTTTTGTCAATTTGACAAAAAATTGGAGAAAGTGACAAAACTTTTTTTTCAACCAAATCTTTTCCCGTCAGCAGACTAAAAATGGAGAAGAGGCGAGAGAATGTGTGAAACAGAGAGACGCAGAGAATGACTGTTTGTGTATTCTCTATCAATGTGTGTGTGCATTTGATATGTATATATTTTATTGATAAGAAGAAGAAGAAGGAGGAGAAAATCAGGAAATGTCAAATTTTTTTGTCATTTTCGGGTTTTCTGATGACGTCAAAGGTGACTTAAAATTTGAAATTTTTGTGCTGAAAATGAGCTGGAATTAAAAAATTAAAAATTAAAAATTTCGAAAATTCAAAAATTTGAAAATTCAAAAACTCGAAAATCAAAAAATTCAAAATTTCGAAAGTTCCCAGGCGATTTTTTTTTGTTTTTTTTGCATATTTTTTTGGCAAACTTTAATTTATTCAATTCTTTAATGAAATTCTCGGGGTTTTTCCACTTTTTCATAGCTTTTTCTTCAACAAATTCCCTTTATTTCTCTGCGCGTCAGGTGTTGTGCAAAGTACGCAAATAGTTAGGCTTCGGTGTTCTGCGTACTTGGCATCGTATTGGACGACACACATTTTTTTGAGCTAATAAATCCATAGTTGCAAAAGGCCGGGACGGGCCGGTAGACGAATTTTCTCGGCCCGTCCCGCCTACCACTGTTTAAAATTTTCCAATGAAAATTTGGGTAATTTTTTTGAATTAAAAAAGAAAAAAAAGGTTACTTTATTTGAAAAAATTGACAAAGTGATAGTAGTCGAAACATAGGTCGTTTTTGTTTAAATTTTGAAAAAATTTCGAAAAAAATCAACGTCTGTACGGACCCCGGGCCGGCACTTCACCGGCTCGGCCCGTCCCGCCGAAATTCTCGACGGGCCGGCCCGAAATTTTGCAACTATGAATAAATCTGAGCTGAAAACCTGAAAATTAGGTGATTTCAGCTAGAAAAATTGGAGAATTTCGGGAAAAAAAGAGTTTATTGGAAAAAAAAACAAAAGCAACAACAAATAACAACGAGAAAAAGTGAAAAAAGGTAAAAACGAAATCAAGTGGATTTGGATTTTCACTCAATAAAAATTCCCTCGCAATCGAATTTAATTTCGAAAAAGTCCGTGGAGTATAGAATCGGATAGTGAAAAATGTCCGAACGAAAACCTTGAATTTTGGCGCCAAGTCATTCAATACTCTTTTTCAATTGAACATTGCTCCGTAAATCCACATCCAGATAGCAATATTCCATTTTGGAGAATTGTAGAAGGTTCTGGAAATTTTGAAGTTAAAAGTCGTCAAATAGGGCGCAAACTACGCAAACACCGATTGTCTGCACACTTGGCACTATATTTGACGCGCAAAAAAGCTGAACAACGACACCTTGATGATTTTTGTGGCTTCTTTGACATTTCGAGAACGAAAATTGAGTTCCATATTTGAGAAAAACATGTTTTTTGATTTCAGTGCGATTTTTTCGATAAATTCCGAAACCCAAGTTTGCGATCCGTAGATAGAGACCGTTCCGACAGTTTCAGCTCGATAAAATGGCAAAAGCCGCTTGTGATACTCCCAGTTATTAGAATTCAAATGAAAATAGGCCACGTGGATTTTCAATTTCAGCGATTCCAATTTCAGCACTAATCTCTCCAAGAATCGCTTATTAAAGTTCATATTAAGCCCTAAGTTTCTAGTGGGAGGGGCTATAATTATTTTTTTTCAAATTGAATGACAAATTTTAATCATTGTTATATGCCAATTCTCTTGTTTTTCATGTCTTTTGACCAGAAAAACAAGTCTTGAATATTTCATTTGAAGATTTTTCGTTAGAACTTTGTTTCAAAACTATTTGAGCTTCTATGATTATTCATACCTTATCGAATATTTGAATTCAGTTTTTGCAAGTTTTTCTTATTTTCGAAAATCAAAAGATTCTAGAAAATGCCCAATATCACCGGATCCAGTGTACTCTATGATACCGAATATTTGATAAAGTATCTCGATTTGTCTCTCTCGGCGTTCGGAATCGTCACCAATATAATCCACATTTGCTTTCTTTTCCAAAATTCCAAAATCTTCATTTTCCTCATTTTTATCACTGGAGCAGATTTGCTCCATGTATCTACAGTATTCTTTTTTCAAATTCGTAATGTTTTAATCTATATATATCATCGAAACTGTGTTGGTTATTTGAACTACTTTGATATGTTTTTCAAATCTTTGGTGATTATTTTTACCGAATTTGCCGCAGATTCCGGAGCCTGGATTTCCATTTTCATGTCGTTCAAATGGTCTTGGAATCATGCCAAAAAAGTTGCCACGTGGATTTTTTTGATTCTATTCATCTTTGTATCCGTTTATTGCTCGCTTATAATGCTAATTTTCGCTTATATCCTACCGTACTCCCCATGTAATACTGAAGATCTTGCACAGCAATTTTTGGAAGATAAGGAAAATCCGATTGCTCAGATTATATTAATCTACAGTAATCTGGAATTCGTTTTTGGGATTGCTCAAGTTTTGGCAAATATATTTTTGCTATTCATTTGGTTTCCTTTGAAATTTTACAAGTTTCGGAAACATCGAAAACTGGACAATTTTTATTTGGAAAATCTGAAATGTATATTTTCCATTTTTCTCTCATTTATGATTTGTGATTTTTCGCGTTTTATTGTTCTTCTGATATGTTACACATATGGAAAAGAGGATCGAGAATATCAGCCATCGCAGTGAGAATTTATTGAAAATTTCGTTGCACGAGAACTACGTCAAGACACCGAAAATGCGCCAGTACAGATTTTTGGAACTTGGGTTTCATGAATTATTTGCCGTGGTGCCTTGGCGTATTTTTGGTTTCCTGGCGCATTTTTCGTGACTTGACGCATTTTCCGGATGTTACCGTACTTTTAGTACCTTGACGCATTTTCGTGTCTTGACGAATTTTTGGAAGCTTGGCGCTTTTTTAGCGTTCTGACGCAGTTTTGGTGTCCTGGCGCATTTTTCATCCGTTGGCGCGATTCTAGTGCTTTGGCGCATTTTCCGTGTCTTGGCGCAATTCTCGTGTCTTGGTGCATTTTCCGAGTGATGCCGCACTTTTCGTGGCTTGACGCATTCCTTGTGTTCAACACCTTTCTCGTGCCTTGACCCATTTTTGGTGTCCTAGCGCATGTTTCGTGTCTTGGCGCATTCCTAGTGCCTCGACGCATTTTTCATCCATTGGCGCGTTTCCAGTGTCTTGGCGCATTTTCTGTGCACTGAAAAAACAAGATTAGCGATTTTTCAGAGAATATTTGACCATTTCCAATGGACTAAGCCAAATTATAAGAACGACTTTTGCTTGTCTCCGCCCATTTATAGTTTTAAAAGTTTGCAAAAATTATCAGGAAATTGTCAAAGCATTTTTCATAATTTCCACTGGATCCACAAGTTTTATCAAGGTGATTTCTTGATAATTTTGAGAAAAAATAATTTTTTGCATTTTCAGGTTGCTCCAAAATCTTCAGTCACGACTACATAATTTTGAAATTTTGAAATAAAATATTCTAACTTTGAATTCGCTGTACATCGTTCAAATTGAGAAACCAAAAATGCGCCAAGGCACGGAAAACGCGTCAACACACAAAAATGAGTTAAGTAAATTTAACATGTTGTTGTTTAATTTCAAAAAAGTAAAAAAAAAACAAATTCATGATTTTAAGCCAAAACATTTGAATTATCCAGAAACACTGGTAGAATGAACTCTAGACCTTCCAAATTCGATTTTCGCGGCACTTCGATATTGGGAAGACATGAAAATGCAGACGATACAATGACTGCTGGCGTTTATTGTTTGTAGCATTGTCAGAATTCTCACAGACATTCTCAATGCGTGTCTGAAATATGAAATATTAGAAGAAGCAGCACGAGAAATGCGTCAAGGCACTAGGAATGCGTCAAGCCACGAAAAGTACGGCATCACTCGGAAAATGCGCCAAGACACGAGAATTGCGTCAATGGATGAAAAATGCGTCAGGGCACTAGGAATGCGCCAAGACACGAAACATGCGCTAGGACACTAAAAATGGGTCAAGGCACGAGAAAGGTGTTGAACACAAGGAATGCGTCAAGCCACGAAAAGTACGGCATCACTCGGAAAATGCACCAAGACACGAGAATTGCGCCAAGACACGGAAAATGCGCCAAAGCAATAGAATCGCGCCAAGGGATGAAAAATGCGCCAGGACACCAAAACTGCGTCAGAACGCTAAAAAAGCGCCAAGCTTCCAGAAATGCGTCAAGGTACTAAAAGTACGGTAACATCCGGAAAATGCGTCAAGTCAGCGTCAGGAAACCAAAAATACGCCAAGGCACCGAAAATGCGTCAAGACATTTTTCGATAATTGACGCATTTCGAAATTAGCCATTCTGATCTTTGCGCATTTCTCGATACTTGACGTAATTCCGGTGTTTTTGCGCAAAAAATGCGTCAACCTGACGCATTTTGTGAGCCTATCCACTTCTTGAATCCTTGACGCACTATCGGTGCCAAGATGTGCTTTTCGTGCCATGACGTTCTTCTGGTGCCTTGGCGCGTTTCTCGTTTATTGACGTCCTTTTCGTGCCTGGCCTCATTTCTCGTGCCACTTGAAACTTACGGTATCACTGCGAAATTTGAAAGTATGGGAATAGTGAAATTCGAAATCATCATTGGAAAAATAAAAATGAAAAATGGGACCAAAGTGAACAAAATGAGTCCTTCGGTTCTCTCGGTTTCTCGAGACTCTCGAGACCGCATAACCTTATTTCTCGAAGTTTCTCGAATGAATCTGGCGAGGAATACGGTAGAATAAGTGAAGATAATCATTTGGAATAATTGAAAAACTCCATCGAAAAATGTGATCATAATTGAGATATGATTGGCCTCTCTGGAGCCAGAAAGAAAATATTCTTCATTGTTTGGGTCCGAAATTCGCGAAATTAGATCGCATGGTTCGTTTAGACGAATTGTTGAATACCGTAGGAAAATGATAATAAGTTGTAGAAGAAACCAATCGAGAGTACGGTAGTTGCCATTTTATGAGCTGTCGAAGTTTTCGAGAAATATTCGGAAAACGAACTCATTGCGAACTGAAAAAAGGGAGGTTAACCACGAGAAATGCGTCAAGGCACCAAAAGTGCGCCAAGGAACCGAAAATGCGACTAGGCACTGAAAGTGCGCCAAGGGCCTAGAAAAGCGTTTAGGAACCAAAACTGCGTCAAAGTACTAAAAATGCGTCAAGAAACCACAAGTGCATCAAGGCTCCAAAAATCAAGGCACTAGAAATTCGTAAGGGCACCAAAAACGCACCATGGCACCAAAAGTGCGCCAAGGCACCAAAAGTGCGCCAAGGCACTAGAAATGCGTCAGATGACCGGAAATCCACCGAACGCCCTGTAAATGTGCGAAGCTGTGTCGACGCATTTTTGGTGCGTTGACGCAATTCCCATGTCTTGGCGCATGTTTTGCGCCTTGACAATGTTCGGTACCTAAACGCATTTGTAGTGCCTTGTCGCACTGTTGGTGTTCTTGGCGCATTTCCCGTGCTTTGACACATTTCCCGTGCCTTGACGCATTTTTCGTTCCTTGACGCCTTCCCCGTTTCATGACTTATTTTCGGTTCCTAGGCGCATTTTCGGTGCTTTAGCGCATTTCCCGTGACTTGACGCATTTCTCGTGTCTTGGTGCATTTCTCGCGCTTTGACGCATTTCTCGTGACTCACCTTAATAGACAAACTTCTAAAAAATGCCATAAGTACAGCCATCCAAGAAGAAACAAATATTGTGAATCCATTGGCGAAAGAATGAATTAAAGTGAGCAATGATTTAAAAAATGGATTAATGTCCGTGCAAAATCCTGGGACACTGACGGTTACTATGTACTGAAAAGTTTGAAAATTACAAAAAATATTTTTTTTGAAAATTTTCAACTTTTAATTACCTTCGCATCATTTGGCAATAAAGCCACTAATTGGACCAAATCCGAGCCACAAATTACCATCATAATTATAAAAACCGGAGTGTCTCGAAGTGATTTTTTTGATAAAATCCAAAAATGATAAATATTGATAATTATTCCAAAAATCGAAAATGGCAAATTGATAAGACGGACCCAATAATCGAAATTTAGGTCGAATTTGTCTTCGGCATTTTTTTCTTGGATGTTCATTTTTCTGGAAAAAAATTCAAAAATTCAAAAATTCAAAAATTCAAAAATTCAAAAATTCAACAATTCAAAAATTCAAAAATTCAAAAATTCAAAAATTCAAAAATTCAAAAATTCAAAAATTCAAAAATTCAAAAATTCAAAAATTCAAAAATTCAAAAATTCAAAAATTCAAAAATCCAAAAATTCAAAAATTCAAAAATTCAAAAATTCAAAAATCCAAAAATTCAAAAATTCAAAAATTCAAAAATTCAGAAATTCAGAAATTCAGAAATAATTAACGAAGAAATAACAGAAAGAAAGAAATTAAAAAATTACAAATTTTCAAAAAAAAATAATTTTGAAATATCAAATATTTTTTAGGTCAAAAAATTCTGATCACTCGGGAAGAAAATTTTGTTTTTACGGAGAGAATTAAAAAGAAAATTGTTGGGTGAACTAGAGAAAATTGGAATATTAAAATTATATGTTAGACATGACATATATGAAGAAACTAGACAATTTTTTGGGGAGAAAAACAATTATCTGGAGGTGGAAAGTATCCAAAAATCGAAAATCAGAAACTTTTATCTAATTTCGAAATTTTTATCAAATTCGTCGCTTTTTTTTTTGAAAGTCTGAAAATGGAGAAAATTCGCTTCAGCTGACCAAAGACCCAAGGGCCCAAGGACCCAAGGAATCTCTGCTCCAAGACCTTCACCTTACGGGACTTGACGCATTTCTATGGTCCTCCTGGAATCTTCATTCCGAGAGCTTCACAAATTTCACGAATTTGAAATCCACTGATAATTCGTAGTTCACATTTTTCAAAGGATTCGAAGGTAGGGATTCAAATGAACTTGAAGTTTCGTTTCCTCGAATATACATCTTTTTTAACTGAAAGATGAAATTCAATGCACGGAAGATGCTTCAAGGCAAGCGGAAGACGTCGAAACGCTCGAGAATCGCGGCTAGTCTTCAAATGTAGAGATCGTCTGGAAAACAGAATTTCTTATTTTTAAATTTATTTTTCCAATTTTCAAAAACTGTCAACTGTGAGCTCAATTATCTCGATTCCGGTGAAAGATATCAAAATTCTGTTAATTGATAAATTATTCGTCCTTTTACCAGTAACAATTTATCAGTTGATAAAATTTTAGTATCTTCTGAAGGAGCCGAGAGAATCGAGCTTAAAGATGACGCTAATTTTTTTAGTAACTTACATCTCGAATTTTCGGAAAATCCTCTTCCACAAAATCTCCTGACAACTTGATTTTGAAGCTTTTCAAGTGGCTAAAATTCGAAAGAACCTCTGAATTAAACCCTTGAAGACTGAAAATTTCCACATTTTTCGCTTGTTTGAATTGTTCTGTATTGAAGAATCTTGGGAAATTTTTTCCATTCGTCGGCCACAAACGAATCGATTCCAGATCTCGTGGTTTTGCAAATGACAAAAGTTGAATAGCATCGTTCAGAGTCACCACATCGATATCCACATTTTTCGATTTCAAAAAAGATTCCGGTAAAACATCGGCAAGTTTGCTCTTAGGATAATTGAAGAGAGTTCGGCCAAATCTACCGTAATTTCTCAAGCGAAGATTGTTCAGTTTGAATCCGGGAATTTTCGACAGCTTTCCCAGTTTTCCATTCCCAGAGTGTGTAGCTGGGTTGTCGTTGAATTGCCAGTATAGAGAGTTGCAACTAGTCCATGTGATGGACATAGACTCAAAAACTGGGGGAAGAGAATCCGCAACATTTTTGATGGCTTTGTTTACAGATCGAAGGACAGTTCTGAAAACACAAAAATTGCAGGAATGGTACCGTAACTTCAATTATCTAAGTTAATAACTTAATTATCATAATATCATCAATATTTTATCAGTTGACAGATTTTGGATATCTCTCATAGGAACCGAGATAAATTTGATCAAAATTGAAGCCTCTCAAGGCGCGATTCGTCAGCTACACGGTTGATCTTTAACTTTGAATAAATTTATCTCGGTTCCTTCTAAAGATATCACAAAATGTTCAACTGATAAACTGTTTATCATAATACCACCAAAATTTTATCAGTTAACAAATTTTTGATATCTCTTACAGGAACCGAGATAAATTTGTTTAAAGTTAGGTGCCCCTCAAACTTCACTAACCTCTCAACTGGATCCAGGTTTCCTGCAATCTTGAACATCAATGCAACTGGCATATTCATAAGAGATTTTTGTCCTGGATCAGCATGGAACACTCTGGAAACAAAAAATTTAACTAATATGATAATTTCATAATACACTTACTCCTCTACTGGATCCATTGGCATTGCATTATCAACAAGAGCTTCCACTAGAAGTTCTGGCTTTAGTTCAATTTCAAAATCTCTTTCTCCCCGAGAAAGTCGGTTGTGAAAAATCTCGTAATCCGAGTATTCCATGGCATCCTGTCCAACGAGCTTACAGAAATTTCGATAAGCATCTTGGATTGGTGTCTTTCGGAGCACTTCATACAGAATACAGGATTTTAGGAAGTGAGGATTGGTCTTCAAGATTTCGGACATAATAGTTTCTGAAAATCAACGGGTATTGATTTTTTGTTAGGTGAAAATGATGAACGGCAAAGACACAAGCTAAGAAACCGTTGGCGAGAAAGACAGCCAAAAAATAATGATTTTTAGGTTAAGGCTTCCATTCGATCGGGAAATTTAGCCGACCGACCGACCACCGACCCCGCCGACCGACAGCCAACCGTGTTGACCGATCGGTCGGAGCGCCAACCGTACTACTCAATAAATGACTCGTTTGTCGTAAAATAAAGTGCTTCGTACGCAAAAACTCGTATTTTTATGCGCAAAGGCACGAAATCGGTTGGCGCACTGACCGATCGGTCAGCTCAGTCGGCTGTCGGTCGGTTGGGTCGGTGGTTGGTCGGCGGTCGGCGATTTTCGACCGACCGAAATGGAAGCCTTATTTTAGGTCAAAGAACACACGAGAAAAGAGAGACAGACGTTTGGAAACAGACTGACTAGAAGAATGAGTGTCCGATGAGGAGATATGACCCACCTGGTTAGGTGGCGGGGCTTCCCAGAAGGCTCTGAGAACCCCCTCGTCTTCAGATGACGTGGCAGAGATCACACAAGGTCACATCATTCCCAAAGGACATTTTCATTGACGGTACATCGAAGGAGAACACTTTATTGACCCATAAAACAACATAAAAAAGCACACTAAAAAACAGAATTCTGAGAACTGGAGACGTCACGTCATCTATAGGGGTTATGGGGAATATAAGAATGGGTCAGAAGACGGTTAGGCAAACAAATCATACTTAAAATCATAAAAACAAGACTTATGGAATATTACGAATGTCGATGAAACTCCAATCTCCTCCTGATTCTTCAATCTTAAATTCTAGCGTTTTGTTGGATTCGGGGTTTTTATTACGGTAAGTGGACCATTCGAATGGATCTTCTGGAATTTGATTTTCCTATCTGTGATATCTTATCTTACACCACAGTAAATCTTTAAGGAATTTAAAACTCACGTCTCGTCTTTATTAGAATCTCTTCCATCGCCGCAGGAGAATGCGTTTTAGAAATCTTCTACTTGATCTTGAGAACCAGGTTCCAGGGTAACCTTTCAAGACCATATTAGAATTCCGAACCGATTCAACGAATTCCCGGAATTCAAGATAGAACAGGATAATAACTGAACCATGGTTCTGCACATAAATTTCGTCACTCTTCAATTTATTTATTTATTTATTTATTTACGATTGCAAGAATCGTGGAAAAAAAGGAAAAAACATTAAAATACATGATAATCAGATTCCAAATGGATAAATAATGAATTCTAGTGATAGGAAATGTAAAATAATAGAATGAACTAGAACTAGAGTGAACATTAAAAAGAAATAGGGAGAGGAGAATAAGACATGTCAAGCATAAATGAACATAGAATAATACATAGAATAGAGGACAGAGAGTAGGGCCAGAAAATTGAGCAATTGCTCAGCAGTAACTAAATCATTTTACTAAGCGCCCTATTGACGAAAAAGTGTTGCCTAATTTTTGTTTTAGCTCTTTTCCATTTGTACCTTGATTTTGATCTTGTTCGATTATTTGTGGACACTTGGAAAAAGTCAGTCTGGTTTAGACCCACTTTTCCTAACATTATTTTAGATATCAGTTTTTTATCAATTGTTTGTCGCCTGTGTTCCAGAGAGGAGAGACCATAAAGGAGGTTACGTTCACTAGCATTCATGTAATCTGAGTCTTGTGGAGTAATATATCTGCCTAGATTCCTACTATAAAGCCTTCTTGTGAAGGAATTCTGGATAGATTCGATATTTCTTTGTTCTTTTTTGTTGGGGGGATTGGATCCTTTTGTATGACAGGTACTTCCAATCAAAGTTATTTGACCTAGATTATTATCTAATGGACAGATGACGTGGCAGTTTGTATGTTCCACGAGGCAATAAAGGTTCTTTTTGTATTCTTCTTGACCCGACAGGTTATAAGGAATGTCTGAGATGTTTATACTGATTTTGAACTTTATTCGAACCGAAAAATCAACATAACAAAGTACATAAAAAATTAAAAATTTGAATTTTGAGAACTAGAGACGTCACGTCATCTGCAGGGTGAATGGAAGAATGGGTTAGAAGACGGTGAATGAAAAATAGGAGAAACAACCTACATGTCCTTTGAGCTCAATTATCTCGGTTCCTATAAGAGATACCAAAATTGGTTAACTGATAAATTGTTTATCATAAAACCAGCAATGTTTTATCAATTAACAGAATTTTGATATCTTTCACCGGAATCGAGATAAATGAGCTCACAGTTGACAGTTTTTGAAAATTGGAAAAATAAATTTGAAAATAAGAAATTCTGTTTTCCAGACGATCTCTACATTTGAAAGATTCGAAAAATGTGAACTACAAATTATCAGTGGATTTCAAATTCAAAATATCTGTGAAGCTCTCGGAATGAAGATTCCAGGAGGACCATTGAAGTCTATCACTCATCGTTATCAGATCCCCGAATCCAATAAGTGTCTGCAATTTAAAATTGAAGGCGGAGGACCGAGTATTTTGATGAAAATCGTCAGCATTCGTTGACTCGATTTTCTTTTTTATGGGATTTTTTTTTCAATCGAGTTCTCAATAAAGTTTGTTAATTTATCTTTGGCATTTCATTGGTGCTTTAGTTTTCTGAAGATCAAATCAATAATATGACAAGAGAAGAGACCAGGAAAGAATAGAAGAATGAGTGTTGGGAGACGGTGTCTGATGATGTGACAAGGGACGGGAACTTCCCACGAGGCACCTGGGAGACCTTGAGAAGACTCTCTCCCCCTCTATTCGGACTGTGTGTGCCATGACGCATCTTGTCTGAGAGAGCCCATTGAGGCGGCCTTTGTCAACGTGCCTCGTCGGACACACAATCTGCCACGTCATCTGCAGGGGGTGCAGTAGAGAGGAGGATTTTGATGAAAGTTACAGAATATGCTCCAAATCGCCTATCTTGACATCTCTGAAATTTTTAGAATTCGCCCGCCAGTTTTAGCCGAGCTATATCAGTTTCAGTACCATAAAAACGATGTTTCAGAGCAAAAGCAGCAACAGGAACAGAGGAAAACGGATTCAAACTTGAAAGTCAGTCGTTTCTTCTGTTACAGGTTTTACGGTATTTCCAACAACTTAGAAATGTTTTTTTAACCTTACTGTCGATATTGGCGCCTATTTCAAAATGTGTTTTTTCAAAAAAAAAAACTAGAGAATCGCGGAAACCGGAGGTTCTTGACAACAGACCATCAGGGTCTGACCCATCAGGGGACAAGAAAACAGCTTTCCCAGCGGCTATGTAGGGCCAGCCGATAGATTCCTCATGGGAAACCGATCTTGGGGTCCCTGTGATCCTCTGAATATAAATAGTAGAAACACCGAATAGGTTTATTTTTAAAGGTGGGGGGACAGGAAATTTTACGGGGGATTTTTGGGGCCAGAGTATGCATTCTACCGTCAAGGTGTACAACGCTTAATGTCACTCTGCGTACAGCTGTCGCCCTCGCCTTTATGTATGCAATCGGGCAGCGGCTTTCTCTTTGCACGCGTAGCTCAGTCGGTAGCGGCGCCGCACCTTCAACACTCGCCTCGACAAGTTCAACTCCTCGAGGAGCAAGTTTAAACGAAATTTCGACAGCATTATTTTTCTCATGTCCCCCCACCTTTAACAAAACTGACAACATTTCGAAAACAATCCAAAAACAGCGACGAAAGTACAAATTAGCGAACTTTAACGATCTTGATCAAACAAAATGATTCTGCCTCTTCAATCGTGAATTCCAAATACTCATTAGATCCTGGAATTCGATGACGATGAGTGACAGTCTTCAATGGTCCGAACGGAATTTCTGCTTCCAGTGCTTCAGCAACAGTTCGGACATCGAAACCATCCCTAAAATAGGTACTTTTCAGCTCACACGATTCGAATTTGTCAAAAGTGGAAATCATCTGAAAATAAGGTCTATGTTTGGAACCGCGCATTAACAACTCACATCTCGAATTATTTGAAAATCCACTGGTTCAATATAACCGATTGGAAATTTGAAAGATTTCAAATGACTGAATCCCATTAGATCACTCTCATGAACATAAATGTTTGATTCTACTCTTTTTGCCTGTTTGAATTGCTCAGTTTCAAAAAACTCCCAAAAAACTTCTGTTGTGTCTGTGTCATCTATAGTAAAATCAATCGACTCGAGTTCTCCGGGATTCATTGCTGATAAGAGTTCAAGAGACTTCTTGAAATCGAATGCACTGATAGACACACTTTTGGCGTGGAATAGAACAGGCAGAAGATCGTTGAAATATGCAGATTCGTTCATGATATTCAAGGAGAGATGATTCACTTTAAGATTGGGCATTTTCAACACTGGAGACAAGTATTCCATTCCTTTTTTGAAATATCATTCGTTATTTTTGATTGATGAGGAATATAGGATTTTAAGAAAACGACCACCATAGTCGCTCAGCCCGCAGCTGAACGATTTGTTGTTCAACTTCCATTCGAGACATTTATCGCATGCTGAAATTACATCGAAACTCGGTGGGCGAAAATCAACAATATCTTTGAGACATTTGTTCATCGATCGGAGATAAGTTCTGGAAACCAAAAGAAGCTTTAGGAACTAAATTGATTCAAACCAACCTCTCCACTGTATCCAGGTAGCCAGTAATCTTGTACATCAATGAAACTGGCATATCCATGATAGTTTTTCGCACTGGATTCATACTCCGATCACAGTCATCAAGTTCTCCACGAGAATATCGATACATTCGATAATACCAGAACTCGAAGTCCGGATAGTTCATGAAATTATCCCCAACTAATTTACAAAAGTTTTCGTAGGAATCGAAGATTGGTTTTTTCCTGAGTACTTCATTCAGAATCAGGATACAAATGTTCAAGTGATAGTCATTGACCGCGGAAGGCTGTTCCATAGCTTCGGAAATTCTGGAAAACAGAATAATCAATAAGAGATTGAACAGAAAAAAAACAAGGACGTCGGGAGTCAGACTGAATGAACGAAGACCATCATACAAACAACGTGGCAGGAGGCGGAGCCAGAAGACGCAGACAACAGGTGTGTTTCTTCCCACGAGGCATTTCCTTCGTGGTGACCTAGATTCCAAATAATGAGTGCCCAATTAGGAGTCAGGCGAAGGATCTTCCCAAGGGACCTCTGTCTAGTCAATTCCGTGTTGTATGATGTCCCTCCCAATTCGCTACGTCCTCTGCACGTCTCCTTTAGAGATTCAGATGCAGATGACTTGGCAAGGGCCCTTATAGAGAATAATGAGAATAATGAGAATTCCTGACAGAAATGCCTGACCCTGGTGTGTTTTCTAGGTCATTTTGAAGTGGTGGCCTAGAAAACTCAACTTGCAAAAGTTAGGCCACCACTTCAAAATGTTTTCTCTCCAAATAAACATTTTACAGGGCCTATCGAAATCAAAAAATTTCAAAATTTGCTGTATCCGACCCCAAAGAGCCATCCGACATGATTTAATTGAGAAAGTGTTTTCTGTGAATGCTGACCGAGGAGTTCGCAATGATGTCGATCCTATGTTCCAATTTGTCCAATATTTTTATACTGTACCGAATTCTGGAAATATCTTGAAAATGGGCGTTTGCTTGGGTTTTCTGATGATTGGAATAAATCCTCAGTCGTAATTCTTGTTTTTTTTTAACCAATTTCTTATTTTTCAAAAATAAATGTTTCTTTAAAAATCTGTGAAACTTTTCGAGTTAAATTACATGAATATTTCTATTTTCTGACTTGAATTCGATGAAAAATGATGCAAATATCAAATTCAATGCAATGTCCGCAAACACCGACTCTGCGTATTTTTCTAACTACCGTATCCCAACAGAAATTTCGCGATAAAACATTATTTCACAAAAATCAATATAAGGTTTGTGTGTCAGATTGAGTGCCAGGTACGCAAACACACGATCTGACGCGCAATATCTTTCAATCATAGGATCAGAGCATGTTTAGGTCATTTTGAAGTGGTGGCCTAGAAAACCAAGTTTGCAAAAGTTCGGCCGGGGGTACGACGAATTCGAACGCTTCCAAAATCGAACGCGACCTAAAACCGAACATGTGTCAAAACAGAACAAGAGCAGAATCGAACTGCGCGAAATTCGAACTGTCCCTAATTGGAACGCTGTTAGCCATGGGGCGCGCTTGCATTATTTTTGTTTTCTCATTTTTTCCCCGCAAATTTTTATTTTTTCCTTCAAAAAAAAATATTTTTGTTGTTTTTGTTTCCAATAAAACTGATTCGTATAGGAAAGGGTGGCGGCATTATTATTCTTGTGCAAAAAAATTGGAGTTGTGGCCGAATTTTCACACAAGTTAGGCCACCGTATTTCAAGGAGTATTTTCGAAAACACAGCCGGCAAACGAGTGCTACCGTAACCCAACAATAAATATTTTCGCAAAATTTTTGTCTTATTTTTTCCTTTACATCGATTTTTTCGCGGTTTTGGCCGTTTTTTCACCA